CCATAAGATGATGCATTTCTGTCACCAAGATATAGAGTGTCTTTGTTAAGAGATGATTTTTTTTTGTATGAAGTCACTGGGATGTTGGGGCTAATTTGTTACTTCAGCACAACCTAGCTTCTCCTCAACAATGTGGTATTAATTTCAAATGTTCACTGGGACATAGTAAACCTTTTGTTGTATAACCCTTCTTCTCTAGGTAGCTCCAAGTGTTCATGAAGGAAATTCTTCCAACCAAGATGCAAGCCGTCTGCCTGCCCCTCATTTCACACTCAGGAGTCCTCTTGACCAGGGTGCTGACGACTCTAACTTCACTGATTACATGGCAGAGAAGGCTCTTCAGTACTTTAGGGAACACTTTAAAACTTTGTAAGCATGATGTCTGATTAGGAATGCCTTTTTTGATGGGAATAGATGATTCATAAAAGGAAAAAACAAAACTATTTTTAAAACCTCTGAAAATATGTTCAACTTCAAAATAACCAGACATAGAAACAAGATTGCAGTTTCTTCCGATCAAACGTGCAAATTTTAAAAAGCCCATACTGGTGGTGCATGTCTGTAACCCAAGCACTCTGGAAGGCTGAGGCAGGAGGATCACAAGTATGAGCTCAGCCTAGGCAACTTAGTGAGAGCCTGACTCAAAATAAAAAATAAAAAAGGATGTAGCTCAGTGTGAAGGCTTTGGGTTCAATCCTCAGGACTGCAATAAACAGCCCCCAAAACCTAATATGAGTGTGATGAATCAGAAATTCTTATATGATTTTGGTGAAAACATAAACTGGTTTTGCCTTCTTGAAAAGCTATTTGATTATATATATTGAGTCATAAAAAATCTTTTTAATATTACTCCACTTCTGGAATCAATTCTAAGGAATAAATTTAAATTTGATCACAAGTTCTCTTTCCAAAACTGGGTGTGGTGGTGCATGTCTGTAATCCAAACTGAGGCAGAGGCAGGAGGATTGCTGTGAGTGAGTTCAAGACCAGCCTGGGTTACATAGTGAACTCAAGGACAGCCGGAACTACAGAGCAAGACCCTGTCTCCAAAAAAAAGTTCTCTTTCCAAGATTTATATGTACAAAATTATTTAAAATACTAAAAATACCCTTAAGACAAACAAAAGAAAATGGTTAAGTAGATAATAG